GAGACAGGGACAAATGGAGACGTTACTGGCGCCCGCTCGAGCAAATTGAGGACTAACGGGAAGTTAAGTGATAAGTGATAAGTGATTCTTAGAATGAGGTGGGTAGATATGCTACACAAAACTCCTTGCCATGAGGAGATATGGAAAGAGAGAAGTCCTCTGGCTTTGATCCTCACTTACCATCTAAGCCCTGATCTGATGTTCATTTATAGAAGAAGCCATAGGAACCAGAAAGGTGACAGAGCCAAGAATGATACTGCAGACAGGAACAGAAACCAAGCCTTGAGGACAGATGGCACACCAGATGGACACAGTGGCCTTGACTCCTGCAGAGGATGTCAGAAAACCTTGGAAAAACAGAAAAGAGACCCTCTACACTCAGTCCGGAAAACAAGATTCCAGGGACAACCTACCCTTGAAACCTGCAAGCCAAGCGCCAATGTCTGGCCTTGGTCTCTTCCATGATAGCTTCGATAACCCCCTGAGTATGGAGCCTACAGCTGTGTCTCCAGGTGAGTATTTGCCAAACACAGGAATGGAACTAAATATAGATACATGAGAATATTCTTGAAAACCAGAAGCTAAAGCCACTTTTATCCAACACTGCCTCCACCACCAGCTTCCTACGCGTCCTCTTATTACAGGAAGGTCACTGCATCCAGATCCAGGTTTGTGGCCAGAAAAAGCCTCAAACCTGCTCAGCCACTTGCTTACTACAGCATTTTGGCCATTTGTACAGGGTTGAGAAGTGAGTTTTATGCCTAGACACTTTCAAAGTGGATAGAGTGCAGCCCAACAGATGGTGTTTAGGAAGTCTGATTTATTTACTATTTGTATGATTTGAACTTCATGTGCCCCTCTGGCACCTCATCTGTGAAATGGGAGTTTTGTACAGATTGTTCTTTGAGAACAGTCTTGGTTCTATTTTTCTTTGGGAATTAAAGATTCCATATCCTTGCTCAGTCTTTTAGGGGGCATGGTGAGCATGAGTTTTGATTATGTCTAGAACATCACCTCTAGGAAGGAATAATGAGAGCTAAATTTCTTTTCTGCTACTCTAACATTCATAGAAGCACACACAGATGATACTTCATCAGCCCAGATGCACAAACACCAGAATGAGAAATGGTCCCTGGTGATTCTGTGCAGGGCATGTGTATGAGCAGCACGAATGCTCTCCCGTGTACTGAGTTCTGACTATAAGCAGACATATGGAAAATTCCTACTTTCAATAGGGTTTTCATGTATAATAATCATGTTGAGCTATTGTTTGCATTCCCATTCTTTGTGCAGAGGATAATAAGTGCTGAGATATCAAATCATAAGTTTTGACATTGTTCTGTTGGTTGTTACCAAGACACAACCTAACGCACTCTTGCTGATACATTATTTTCTTCCTACTCCCCTGCTTCCTTTTTATTTTCCCTACCCCCTCCTTCCTTCTTTTTTTGGTAAAACTAAGTATTAAAGGGAACTTTATAATCAGTATTGGAAAGGTTGCGTGAGGAAAAACCAAAAAGCTGGAGAGATAATACGGGGGTTAAGGTTGCCTTGCACATAGTTACCTGGCTTAGATCCCTTGATACCACATATAGTACCCAACACACCCCTAGGAGTAGCCTGGAGTATTTTAGGTGTGGCCCAACCCCACACCTACCCATTCCTCAATATATAAAATACATGATAGAGAGTCTATCATATAAAAATATATGTACATTATTAAAGGGACAAAAAGAGGGAAATGACGAGGCAAAGAATAAAAGGAAAGGAAAAGGAAAAGAATGATCCAGAAGTGTACACACAGTGAATCAGCTCCAGGGAGGAACTAGGAAAACCACAGCTTCTAGGCCACTAAGATGTGATTCAGCAAATGGGTATCACCGAGGAAAGCCAGCTCCTTGGACAGCCTATTCATTTCTGTTGGTGTGGGTGGGTGGTGCCTCATCCTGAAATCCCACATCTTGCCCCAAACCATCCTCCTTGGTGTTGCAATCTGCACAGCTGATAAGCAGACCAGATTGAAAAGCGCCTCTCTGGTAAATCTCTCCTGAGCTCCTCACACTTTGTAGGTCATTCATGAAGGCCTATAATCAAATCAAATGTCTGCTGCTGGCAGATTCATCCTTTTTTTTTTTTTGATGAGGTATCTGCAAAACCTACCACTTTCATTCCTACTTTGCTCAGACCTCCTTCCAAGCAACTTTTCTTGGCTGTGACTTCCCACACTCTATTCTCAAGTCAAGTCATAGTTCTTGACTGATTCTGATTTAAATCCCTACAATCTACAAGGCACATTGATCTTAAAGTAATGACAAGGGATGGATGGGGATAGGAGAGGAAGATAAAAGACAAGTTAAGAATGTCCAAGACCACCCACTGCTGAGGAGTTTGTCTCTGGTGACTCATGAGCAAAGGGACTGGATACTCAGAACCACCTTGAAGGGGGATTAAGATCAGCACAGTCCATAGGGAGAGGAAACAGAGAAGCAAAGTTTAACATCACAGAAGGGACTAGGGGCAGTCTGGAAAGGTGATCTTTGACTTCTTGCTTACACAAAACTTGGTGTGTTCTCAAGCCCCATGTCTATTCAGGTCCATGTGAACTCCAGTTCTCACCCAAAGCTCTCTCCAGACTTCAAATCACTATCCTTTCCTCTCAGCAATCAATTCTCCTGTGACTTTTGCAGGAATGCTGGGTCTTCTTTCTCCATCAAGATGGGTCTCTCCCTCCTCTTTTGTTCCTTCCCTACCTTTCAACCTCTACTGATCACTTTCACCTCATTGCTGCTCTACAATTCATTTTTTTCTTTTTGGGTCACACCCTGCAACGCAGAGGGGTTACTCCTGGCTTTGCACTCAGAAATTACTCCTGGCAGTGCTTGGGGGACCATATGGGATGCTGGGAATCGAACCCGGGTTGGCTGCATGCAAAGCAAATGCCCTACCTGCTGTACTATCACTCCAGCCCCTGATCTACAATTCTTTAACTCTCTGTTCTCTCAATTTTAATCCCTCCCTCTGCCTCTCTGACTCTCAGGCCATATCTCTTCTGTCTTCATCTCTCACTGCACATCTCAGCCTTGTCTCGCTGGCTGTCTCTTCCTCATGCTCTGTCCCTGCCGTCTTCATCTTCCATGTGGCAGACCATGCCCTGACCAGGCAGGGCCCTGACCAACATATCTACAAGTCCGTCTGCACTAACACAGGCTGCAGCCCACACACGGAACCTGAGGTGGGGCCCAGGGAGGAAGCCAAGTTGCTGTAGAATCATGCACAGGGGGTTCTGCCCAAGCTGCTTAATTAGGAATCCGGCACTTTCCTCCAGTCTCCAATCCCCTCTCAGTCTGCCTAAAGCAAAGATAGGACAGTGGTTCCTCTCACACAACCTACTGTGAGATACCCAGAAGTAGCACGTGTCCCTTAGAAGAGAACCAGAGAGATAGTACAGTAGTTAGGGCATTTGCCTTGCACATGGCCGACCTGGGTTTGATCTCTGGCAGCCTATATGGTCCCCTGAGCTTAACAGAAGTCATTCCTGAGCACAGATGAGGAGTAACTCCTGAGCAACACCACCACCCCTGCTGCCCCCAGAATAGAGGAAAAGAGAAGGAAAGGGAAGAAAAGGAAAGGGGCTCAGAGAGGAGGGGAAGGATGAGAAGGGGAGGGGAGGAGAGAAGAGGGAAGGGAAGAGGAGAGGGAGGGGAGTGGAGGAGAGGGAAGAAGAGAGGAGGGGAAGGGAGAGGACCAGAGGCTGAGAGAGTACTGGATGGGAGTCACAACAATCCTTTTTCAGAGGAGACCCAAATCACACTGGAGCCTTCAACAGCCTCAGTATCTCCATGTATACAGCAAAGGGTGAGGCTGAACTAGTCTACTCTTTCAATGTGGATCCAGTCTGGAGAACTTAAAGGTCATGCCTGTTGTAAAGTGGAAACCCAGGCTGCTCTAGGGATAGCCAGAGTGGCAGTGAGTGCTGAGGCCTGTCTTCTGTCAGGCGTGGGGAGCCGAGCAGCCGTGTAGCTGTCACCCGGGAGGCGCTGGAGCTGGCAAGAGTTTGAATTCCCAGGCCAGGCTGCTGTCAGGAAATGAGGCATATGGCCGGACGGCTGGGGTGGCGCCTCCTGGCCACTCTGGAGAGTTGGCCCCGCGATCACTTAGAGGAGGGAGGGAAGAAAGGCGGAGGTGGCGAGATGTGCCAACAGCTTTCGAAGCTGAAACAAGCACAGCCCAGTCTCCTGGAACTCGGGGGACAGAAGCGCGGCAGCCACTCCTTGTCTGGGGCTCTGGAAAGGATGCCGGAAAGACACACCTCTGCTCCTCGGAAACCGCCCACCTTCTTGGGGTGGAAAGGACACTGACTTTCCTTTTTAAAACATTTATTTGTTTTGGGGCCACACTGAGTGGTGCTCAGGACTTACTCCTTGCTCTATGCTCAAGGATCTCTCCTGGTGGGCTCAGAGGACCATATGGGCTGCTGGGCTGGGGATTGAACCCAGGTTGGCTGAGCACAAGGCAAAGTCCTACCCGCTGAACCATCATTCATTCCAGCCTCAATAGTTGAATTTTTTAGTGCACATGCGCATGAGTGTGTGTGTGTGTGTGTGTGTGTGTGTGTGTGTGTGTGTGTGTGTGTGTGTGTGTTTCAACATGTGGCTCTGGCAAAGGAGCTGGTCAGAGGAAAGAGTTTAACTGCAGGGTAGGTGGAGAGTGTATGTGAAATGGGAGATAGTCATCTGGGAGGTCCTGAAGTTTCATTAGCAATGGACGTGGTTTGCTCACTACCCAGTGAACCTGGAACAACACCTGGAAGCCTGTGGGTCAGTATCTGTCTTGCAAACCATAATGGCTAAAAGGAAAACGTGAAAGTGTGAGAGAATGACTGAGAGAGACAGAGAAAATGACTGTCTACTATAGAGTCAACTCACTCATATTTTTTTCTTTTCAATTAAAAATATAGTTAGTTGGTAGTTGATGGAATTTTCCTTATTGATTCTTTTAATTTTTTTGGCACCATTCCTGGAGATACTGTAATACCAGGTTGATTCATGGAGTGGACGGAGCAAGCCCCAATTCCAATACCCTGCTCCAAAAATTAATTTAACATGTTGTCCTCCAATAAAGAACAGGTAAGATATTAAAATCATAAAAACAGATACTAAACTTGATCTTAGTCAAAAGGCCACAAAGCAATTGGTTGATCAGTTTTAATTTATATATATAAATTGATTTAGTTAAATATAAATATTAATAGCTACCGAGAGTATTCGATATGCCAAACACAGTAACAACAAAGTCTCCAATGGAGACGTTACTGGGCCCGCTCGAGCAAAATCGACGATCAACGGGAGGGCATTTACCTTTACCTTTACCTAGTAAGGTGATATATATATATATATATATATATATATATATATTTAACTAAATCACTGTGAGATATATAGTTACACAGTTTTCCATGATTGGTTTTCAGTCTTACAATGTCCCAACACCTGTCCCTTCACCACTGTACATTTCCCACCACCAATATTCCCAGTTTCCCTCCACCACCTGCCACCCCAACATGACTCTATAGTAGACAGTCGTCTTCTCTGTCTCTCTCTCTCTGAATCACTCTCTCACACTTTCACTATTCCCTTTTGGGCATTATGGGTTGCAGGACAGAAACTGAAATGTTAGCAAATATGTTCCTCTATCTCCTTTCAGCACTGTTCTTATCCAGAGTGATCTTTCCAGCTATCATTGTTCTAGTGTAATACGTATTTTTTTAATTCTTAATAGGTAAGGTGAAGGCCCATATTTTTCTTTTTTCTAGCTTCTTTGATTGCATAATACCATCTATAAGATATAGGATGTACAGTATAAGGATGAATTGATTCTGTAATCATTAACTTTTCTATTCAAGGGAGTCAAAGATCATTCTTGGAATCAGGGAGTTGGTGACTTCATGTCCAAGCATCAGATGAAGCACTCTCCATGGGCACACTATGGCATTGACACCCCAGTTATTCAGAGACCATCTAAGAAGGAGGGGTGGACCATCAAATACAAGTGCTTAGTACAGCATGAGAATTTCTGATAGGTCTGATGACCTTATGACCTGGTGGTCTTGAATGGCCCATTCTATCTTCTAGACTTGGTGGTAGGAAGGTAAGCCCAAAAGGCAATCAGAAGATCTGTGGTCATGGTGAGCTCTGCAGTGACTTTTCTTGTGCCCTCAGCTATGTATGTTCTTCCCCCACATATAAGTGGGATCCTGGGATTCTAAAAAGCCCTTTCAGAATCTAGCATCTCACTCCCCAGTTTGAACTCCTCTTTGGGATTAAGTTCATTTTCACAGAAGCCAAAAAGAACTCATACATTCACTCATGTATTGCATTCAAGCCAATTTCAACGTGTGGTGTAAAATCAAGCAATCTAGAACATGGGAGCAATGTGATTGTCAGCTTCATTGACAATTACTGAAACACCCCTTCATCAAGATGAGGTAACAGGATGTTGCTTGTCACAGAAGAGCATGGATATGGAGCAGACCCTATAAGGAAATCTATTTTCCTAATCCTCCACCCCTTCCTGCTTCTCCACATAGCTGGACTTTGCCAGCATGTTCCGAGATGCTCAGGAAATAGCTAGGAACATGCCCTCTTAGATTTTATCCATCTTAAGAGGTACATAGTTCTTTGCTCACATTTCAATGTCCAGTTCACAAGTCAAGATCTCAGGGAGACCTGTAATGATCCCTTCTAATTACTTCCAGAGGGAGTCACATGAGAACTCTTTGGAAACCATTGGTATTCCTTGGAAGACCACTAAATTAAATTTTCATAAATGGTTTTTCAATTATGTGTGTCATCTTGCAAGATTGTAATTTCTTTTTTCAAAAGGAAGAGCCAATTTTCCTTCTTTCTCCTGGATTTTATGGAGCTTTAGTCGTTCATTATTGATGCTTGCTTGAGACAGAGTTTTATAAACTATTAACACGACAGAAAATCAGCATGTACAATCTTGCTAGGGAGTAGCTCATCCAGAATGTCCTTAAATTTCATCCACAGTTTTATTTTCCAACAAAGTAGGATTCAGTCTGATTTAGAATATGAGTCAGAGAAAGAATTTTTACTGGGAATTATAGGACTCAACTTTGCTGCTAAAGAGCTGTGGCACTTCTAGTTATTTATCTTATCCTTGAATTCTCCTTTTATCTTACTCTTTGACTGTAACATATCCCTGAATCTTATAAATGATACCTCAAAACTCCATCCCCAAGTCCTCTTTTCTTTCCATTATGTTTCCAGCATACTGGTTAAAACTACTAATACTCTCTTGAGGCTTCCACTTAGATACCTAACTAATCCCTTTCATTTAACTCTTCCCCATGCTACCCTTATGGAAATCCATTTCCCATGCAATCGAGGTGGAAAATGCAATGAAATCACTCTATGTCCTTCTTTAGCTATATAAAAAATTTCCCTTTTGCAATAGCCAGCAAAGCCCACCAGAGCTTCTACCACTTACTGCTGTCAACCCACTTCCTCCTATTCGTCCCAATGGTCGGCTTCAATCCCACCAGATTTCAACTTTGAAGTCACCAAACTACAACATCTGTTTCCATTTTAAACATTTTTAAATACCAACTCCCACTCATATTCCAGGAATTAGTTAAGTAACATTTCATTTGAAAAGCAGACAAGTTGATTCCCAAGTCTAAGAATTGTTTTCTTGTCTTAAAGATGCATCCCCAGTAATCTGCTCAATAAATCCAACTGAATCAGAGTCCAGGTTAACTGCGTTCCTTTGTGGGGAGCACTTACAGTGTTCTCAGGGTTTATTCCTGGCTCTATGCTCAGGGATCACTCCTGACAGGGCTTTGGGAACCATATGTGCTGCTGGGGATCTATCCCAGGTCAGGTATGTGCATGGCAAGCAAGCATCTTACTGGCTATGCAATCCCTCCAATGTCTAATTATTTCTCTTTAACCTTGTATTTTCACTTCATGGTACCTACCACAGACTAATGAAATATATATTATCACAAAAGATTTAAGTCAAAGGGTCTTGAAGCATTTTTATCATGCCTTCCATTCTATCTCTGTGAAACCTAGAACATAGGATGGAATCTAGAACACAGCAGGTGATCAAAGAACATATGACTCCAAAGAGAAATGGTGTGATGTTGTGCTTATAGTAAGAAGTCCCTAAGGTTATTTGTTTTGGGGCTACACCTAACAATGTGTTCTGGGCTTACTCCTGGCTCTGTGCTCAGGGATTGCAGATCACTTCTGGCAGTGCTTAGGGATCAATCCCGGGTCAACTGCATGCAAGACAAGTGCTTACCAGCTGTACTATCTCTCCTGACTCAAGGTCTTAGTCTACCTTTCTGATACAGCTAAAATTTCTTGGGATATCCTCTGTGATGAGAGTACTATTTAAGGTATTTTGCTATTTCAAGGGGGCGACCTGGTTAAGTAACTAAAAAGGGGGCTGGATGCCAGGAAAATATCTAGGTAACTAGAGATTGGAATTTTTAGCGTCCAACTCCATGTCCAGGAAGGAGAGAGATGCTCAGAGGTTGAATCAATGACCAATGATTTAAATAAGTCATGCTGATGTAATGGAGTTCATTAAAACCCCCAAAGGACTGAGGTCAAAGAGCTTCACAGTTAGCAGAGATTTGGGGACAGTGGTCTACCATGGAAATTTATGCCCCTTCTTCATACCATTCCCTCTGTATATTTTCCATCTGTCTGTATCTTGTTATATTCTTTTATAACAAACCAGAAAACTAGAAAGTAAAATGCTTCTCTGAGTTCTGAGACAATGAATAAATTGTCTCACATTCTAGTAAATAAATCTATTTCAAGATGTGGGTCTTAAAAATGTCCACTACGTAGCCAGGTGGTGAGGAGCGCAGATGATAAACTTTGCTTCCAAGTAATATCTAAGTGTGCAGGGGCCCCTCCTGTAGGACTGAGCCATTGAATTGGGGTCCAATGTTGTGCCTAGGTTGAGGGGGTTTTGTGGAATTGGAAAAGAAGGGTTTGGAGCTGGTCATGTATATCAGAACCGCCTCCCCCACTTCCCTAGATCACAAAAACCACATTTCCTCTTTCTGTGGACTTTTACATTGTGCAGTGGAGGCCTTGGTGCCTGGAAGAGCTTAGTAATATAGTTAAAATGTCATTATCCTGGCTCTGACATTTCCTAGAAAGGGGTCTTTGGAAAGTCACTTAACATTTTCATTTCTAAAGGGTCTGATAATCACCCATGTTTCGGAGATTCATTATGAGTTTTATATAAAGTCATGGGTGCTAAGTACTTATATGACCCTCAGAGTCTGCTGAATTTTTAGTTGCTGATATTATTATTAACAATATTTATATTATAATTAATAAAATTTAAAGTATGTTATTACTTATAATGATACATTATTTTCAAAGTCAGTCAAGAGCTTGACATAGAGTAGTTCTTAAAAATCAGCAGCCATCTATGGCGAGCATCAATCTGTTAATTAGATGACAGGATGAGAAGGAGGAGGACGCTTATCAGTGATGTGTCTGAGGGTCTAACTAATGTTGACATGACGTCAAATAGGAAGAAATCTCTGCTTTATGATAACCTCTTCCAACACATTCACATAAAACTGTCTGTCACTGTCACTGTCCTCCCGTTGTTCATCGATTTGCTCGAGCGGGCCCAGTAACATCTCCATTGGAGACTTTATTGTTACTGTGTTTGGCATATCAAATACATCACGGGTAGCTTGCCAGGCTCTGCTGTGGGGGCGAGATACTCTTGGTAGCTTCCCTAAAAAGATATAATTTTTAAGAGAATAATTTCTTATACATGGAACAATTGTTCTCACTGACCTTTTCATAGTTCTTCAGATTTTGAGGCATTATTAATGTGACCAAAACCTCTCTTCTCCAGAGAGAGTAGCCCCCATTGCTTCAATTCTCCAGGAAGATAGGCAAATAGGATATATGCCTAATCTACATAGGTCTTGACTACCACAGTTCCTGTTTTGTGTATTTTCATAAGAAATCAGTCTCATCTTTCACTTCTTTATGTACTTCTCTGAATTAATTCACACGGAAAGAGGCTCATGACATATTATAGAGCAAAAAAGAGACCTTTATACAGTTTTGCAGAAATGTGGGGTATATGTGTATGTATGTGTGTGTGTGTGTGTGTGTGTGT